GTAAGCACACAAGTCTGTGACAGTTTGTAGAGTCAGGGCTTTGAGCATATGGATTGCACATGCACGTTTCTTTTATCTGGTTCATGAGAAAGTTGCTTTCAACTGAATTAAAACCAATTTGAAAAGTGGTACAAGGTTTGAACCCCAGTGTGTGCTCCTTTCATCATCAGGTTTTGGCAGAGGAAAGGAAATATAAAAACAAAGAGAGGTCAGGAGCCTCTTTGTTGTTTTTCTGACCACCTGAGATGTGGAGCTGGTCCACGGGACAGATTTCCCTGCTGCAGTGTGTCTGTGTGTGATTGAGAGAGAAGAAAAGAGACACTGCATGATAATAGATGACATTTCTGTCACTGTTCTTTCTCCCAGCTGCGCCTCATATAATTAATTTGCTCTCATTTTACAACTTTAACTTCCTGACGCATACCGATTAGATCAGGTTCAAATGAACTGGCCCTTTATGAATCACTCTGAAACCAGTTCTTTAGACAATTGAGGTTTTTGCTGAGTGGCTCACACAGCTTGTGAGTCTATTCTCAGCCTAATCCATGGTTCCCCTGAGAGTCTGCCGATGTCCCAAAACACCCCCGAGGTTCACAGTGGTTGGTTATGAAACATCCATGATCAATTAGGCACCAATTAAACAAAGTGTTAATGAGCTGTCTGACGACTTAACAGCCAAATATCCTCTGTGAGGTTTTCTCTGCAATAGCGCTGGCTGATTCGGGCGAGACATGGAATGGGCGTGCACTATGACTACATTTTGCTCTGAGTGTGTCTCATGTTGACCTCACCTCCCTCTTTTAGTGTGTTTTGGGTAAGAAAGTCAGATGCATATACTTGGTCTCTGCCTGCCGAGCAGTTTCTAGATCAGATCACTCGTGGAAAAATGTTAAACACACCAACACTTGCTGGATGTGATTTGAGGCTGCTGTTACCTTGGCAACCATTTAATTCCTTTCATCGGCAATAGTTGTTTAAAGTTTTTTGTTGGTCAGTGTAATGAGTTGAAAAGAATCTTAGAAAACATGCTGTACCCGTTTTGTAGTATCACTGGAGTCAAATGTTCACATGTGTTCCCTTATATGGCATGAAGGGTAGTGGTGGTCTGATGGATAGTGAGGTGGGCTGAAGATTGGAAGGTTGTGAGTTCAAATCCTGCCTGGAACACCAGTGTGCCCTTGAGTAAGGCACTTAGCCCTTAGTTAATCCAAGGAGAATGTCCCTGTAATTGGTCATTGTAAATCGCTTTGGATAAATGAAATGTAATGTTACATAATCAGGCCTCCTGAACTACATTTGCAACCAGCCTGAGTTGTGATGTATTCTGCTACAACTCAGTGTGTAGCTCTACTGACCAGCGGGGCAAAGCACACTCAGTTTCTGTGACTTAGAGCTTAAATGTGTGAGAAAGTTAAATAAAATTAAAAATGAGTTTGAAAACCTCTAGTTCAACCCTGCTATTCCCGCTCCACTCCTCCACTTTCTGAGTCAACCGCCTGCTTTTCAAGGCGTTCATCCACAGAATGCAGAGTGAATCACGACGTTTATATCATTAGAATTTTCACCAAACTTTGTTTAAGAAGTTGAAAATGCTAATGCTATGTAGGGAGAGAGAAAAGAAAGGAAGCTCAGAAGGAGGTGACCCACTTAGTGTAATTATCGCTAACGAAGAGATGGGAGAGTTGCAAGCAGGGGAAAACACACAGGCCTAAATGCGTTAAATTAATCCAGATAATTCAATAAGCGATGATGAAACGCCACAATCAAGCCCCCTTTGGCTCTAGTGTTTGACTGATAATGCACTGGGCTGTTTTATGTGAATAGTTTTCCATAACCTCTCTGTGTCAGGCGGCGTGGCTGTGTTTGGTGCTACTGGGTCTGCCTGTTTGTCTGCGGCGACTGACACACACGACTCGAGCACATTTGCATGCACACATTAATACGCACACATGCACACACACGAGTACACACACCACTGTATATTGTCACCCTTGGACATCTCCTGAGCCTCATGTGAGATTCATACAATGCGTTCAACCATGGCTTCCCTCCGGGTGTATGCAAGTGCAGCGTCTGAGGTTTAGTAACAAGATCATTAAAATAATCAAATTATGATAAGAGAGAGTCAGTCGTGCTGAAACTGGTTGTTTTGAGTCCATCAGAGCCGATGCTGTTAGTGTGTGGAGCGACGACCGAGGGGAGGGCATCATCAACATTAGCTGACAGCATGAGAAAAAGCCTGCGGTGGATCTGAGGAATAATAACATTACCACCGCTTTCTCACAATAATAACATTGCAGGAATACAAGAAAAGTTCCCTTTTCTGTAAGTTAAGTGTCCCACTTTTTAAGCCTCAGAGCAAAAACAATCCTCACTCATTGCATTGTGTGTTAATATCTTGTCAGAGAAGCTTCTGAGCGGCTCACCTCCGGTTAGCAGGCTGCTGGTCTGTTTCTGGAGGCGGTGCAAAGCGGCATCTCCTCTAATTCATCGCCATGCGGAGCGAGAGAGATGAAACGTCTTTCAGAATTGATGTCTGCACCTTTATCTCCTCTGCAAATATTTGTGTAATGAGAAAAATATTATTCCACCTTTAATTACAAATGTGTATTTATTTCCCCCCCTGCATACAAACATATTTTTTGAGACGTCGTTTTATTACAACTGCAGTTTAATCTGAAAAGGAATTAAAGCGGCAGTAATTAGTTTATAGAGCCTAATTGTCTTATTGTGTTTTTAAAACATTGCTTCATCTCCTCTGGAACTTTGAAAGTAGTATTTCCCCCGTACAGCCCCCAACGCCCCCCTCACAAACTTACTCTCTTCTGCCGCAGCTGTACAACACAACTATTCATTTAAACCAATAATCTCCAAGTCATTACCACTTATCAAAAAGGCTGAAAATTAATTATGTTAACTGCAAGAATTTTTCATTAGATCTTTACATTTGTACACTTCATCAGTTCTGAGAACTCAGCAATTTGATTACAGTTGATTTCTTTCTATTTAATGAGGCAAGCGTTTCATTTTTCCATGTCCTTTTTGTCCGTTCCTCAGTTTTTTTCCTTCATTAATTGGATTATGATCAATGCAAGCTTTAATGTTATGGAAAACTTAACCGAAGCCTCTATCTACTATGACACAGTTTTGCACGGGAAGATTAGAGAATGCCATATCTTCATTCGTCAATTATCAAACTGTCTTTCCTTAACGATGTAAGTGTGAAACATTGCTAATCACTGCTGACGAACGCACACTGCTGTTCTACAAAGATAATGAGTCTGCCAGAGTCAAGGGGAGAAACAAACAGCCGAGGAGAGAGGAGTGAGACGGAGAGGAGAGGAGGAGATGAAATGTGACAGATCAACAAAACACTGATCCTTTAAGTGCAACTACAGACCGACAACTAATGTATAAAAAAAAATGTGGGAGGAGAAAAGACAGGGGCAACACAGGAAATGAAGGAAGAAAGACATGTAAACAGGTGTGAAGGGGCACCGTCACTTTGTTTCAGGTTACAGAGGTGACCTAAATGGAGCTGAGAGGCAGAGTGGGAGAGACAGAGTCAGAGACATTACAGAGGCACATGTCAACCACCATGGGATGTAAGGTGTGAACGAGAGAAACAGAGTGAAAGAGAGTGAGAAACGGGGGAAGCAGGCGGAAAGGAGGAAGACAAACGCAGAACACTTTGACGAGAAGTAAGACAACCAAGTGATCCTCCAGCGGCCTGTCCACTTCTGCAAACTTTTCTATCACGCTGAGAGTAAAATTGAGTAGTTCCCACCTGAACCTATGATGCATTTAATTACCCCCGCTCACCGCTGCTTTTGTCTGCAGCTATTTGGATGAAAAATCTGAGCAATGATCCGCCAGCACAAGAACTTTAAATAACATGATGATTTATACCTTCAACATCCCTTCAACACACAAACAAAAACGATTTATGGACATCTGAAATGCACCTGTGCGCTTTAGCCTCCTCCACTTTCGAAGGCAAATGTCACAGAGATGCATAAACACACACACATGCAGACACACACACACATACATACACATACACACACACACAGGTGCTGCTGGGGGGACCATGGGGAAGAGGTGAGAGCGCTCTCGCTCCACTGAGTGGAAAACCTGATCTTCTTACCTCAGCAACTTCAGGTGGAGAGACTCAGTGGAGAGACATCTGTGTGTGTGTGTGTGTGTGTGTGTGTGTGTGTGTGTGTGTGTGTGTGTGTCTGTGTGTGTGTGTGTGTGCACAGATTGAGGAGGAAGTGGGAAATAGACAGAGAGCACAGGAGACGCTGGGTCCTTGGCTGTTGTCATGGCAACATATTAACAGGCCGTAGGGTAAACAGGTGTCTCCTTTTAACTTAATCAATCCAGCTAAATTAGCTAATCTGCACTATAGTGATATGATCCGCAGGGCTGAGAAGGAGCCGCAAAAGCCCCCAGCCTCACCCTCTCACCAGCAGCGTGTCCGACGCCGGGCCCCTCAGGGGTCAAATGGATTTACACGGCGGTGTGCCGTTCAATCGGCTCAGTACTGAACCCAGAGAGGCTTCCCACCAGCCATTGCTGTTTCTGTGCATGACCACCCACTATCATAATTAGCATCTGACACAGAGAGGGAGAGCACCAGTTGTGTGGATTATCACAGCCGCGCGTGCTATTATCATAACGGTTACGATAGCTACGCCTTCGTTGAATGGATAATCAGCAAGGTATTATGTGCTGGGATAATAGCACCGTGTGAAAACTGGAGATGCACTCCCGGCTAACGTGCCTGCACAACCATACCAATTATTATGAGCAGGGTTCATGCTGCATTTCGTTAAAGCTGTGTTCCGCCGCAGATCTGATTATGATAACAACAGTGCATCTTGTGATGATGATTATTAGGACGATTGGGCGATGATGAGGGTTTCCAGGGCCGAGCCTACCTATGTGTGTTCAACCACTGTGTGTGTGTGTGTGTGTGTGTGTGTGTGTGTGTTGTAGGAGTGGGTGGTGCTGGGCCAGGTTGATTTAGAGAAGTTAGTGGAGAAGCATCTGAGCTCTGTGCAAGACTGGGAGAGAAACTTCAAGGCCCTGAAAGCCAGAGGGAAAGAGTCGGAACGTCTACTAAGGTATATAACACACATAATAAACACAAGTAAACATGACAAAGTTACAACTGCTCAACAGAAAAACTATGTTAAAACTTTTTTTGAGTTAAAAAAAAAATACATATTCATAACACATATCTGGCAAGCATTTAAAGGTGGGTACGTCATTCACTTCAGATATGCACTTTTTGTTATATTCCATGGAATGTCTGTGGAAGCCGTAGTACTGTAAAAAATCCCGTCCAATAATTTTAGACGGCCCGGCTAAAATAGCTGGATGGCGTACCTGCCTGTCAGCCTTCCATCTGTTCACAAACTTATCTTGTGCCCTCATCTATGGGCTCAGAACAGTCTCATAATACACACATGCACACAGAAGGATTCACACTTGTATTTCATGATCCACACTTGTGTTTTTCAATGCACACACAGATGTGTTCCGTTTCATACATGTAAATAAAATCCAAATACAGAAAAAAGTTTTAAATGTGTATTTTTGATCCTCACAGATTTGTTTTCCGTTTAAAACCTCTGAACCTGCAAACACAACCCGCTTTCTGTGCGTGGATCGCTGTGCATTCGTGTGTGGGTTTTTTGAGACTCCCCTGATGGTCAGCCGATTCGTACTTGTAATTTTTTCTATCTATAGCCAATCAGATGTCTCCTCAATTCTAAGCCAATCACGTGAGCGCGCCCCCACGAGGGTAGATTTCTTGCGTTCATGACGTAGCACTTCATGTACGCATTTTGCGCTGTCCGGAGCTGACAGGTCTATGCGCTAATCTCAGGACACCTCCACTCTCAGTACAGCGCCACTTTCCGAACCATTGATAAATGCTTTATGTGCTCAGAACAGTCTCATAATAGAAACTACGCAGCCGAAAAAATCTGCCTCTTCCTTACAGAGCCCCTCCTCCAACACACATGAGCGTGCACACGACCAATGAGTATGTATGTATTATGAGACTGTTCTGAGCCCATAAGTTTCAAATTCTAGGTTTCTACATTCTTACCTGCCCTACCTTTAATCAGGACAATCATCATTATTTGGATATCTAAAGATAGTTATGAATGAATGATTCATACAAAACATTTTGTTATCTACACAAGCTGGATGTGGTGAAACTGTTGATAATGCAACAGTATGTGACTTTCAGTTTTCTCTCTGCTCTGATTCTGTTGTGTTGATGTCACAGATATCAATTTAAGCCATTTTTATTGTAGCTAACATTTAAATCTCCTGTCACGAATAAATGTACTTCTTCATTCAACTTCCAATGAATTGACTTTACAAATACAGGGAACTTACGCCCTAACAAAAGAGTCACGTGCACTTATCCTCTTCTTCCTCCTCTATCAGTCAGGAGAAGGTTGACTGTATTACAGTTAACTGTGAGCCGGTAAAAGCCGTCATCGATGACCTGATCCAGAGGCTGTTTGACATGCTGCTCTCCTCACTCAGGAAGTCCATACAAGGTACAGTAAAAGCAGACAGCGGGATTGTCCATTTCACTTTCATTTTCTTTACTCACTAGGTTTCGTTTTTGTTGCAGCATAGAAATGCCTTTTTTAGAAAGTCATTAGTGTTATGTATGTCCAACACAAGTCTACTCACTACTTTCCCACTTCACTGTTCAACTTTCCTTCTCTGCTCTTGTTTGTTTCAGTTTTGTTTTTCATTCTAATTGCCCAATGACATTATATGCTTTTTCCTTTTCTGATTTCTGATTTCATTTTCCTTTTGCTCTCAGGGCACACCCAGGCCATAGACAGTTTTGTTTCAGAGTCAATGGAGGTGTTGTCTAATCGACCAGAGAGCATGGAGGAGATTGGTGTGGCCGGTGGCAGATATAACCAGATATTAGCCCGCAAACCAGAAGTAAGACCAACACAATCATAAACTCTGACTAAGAGCTAAATGAAAGTACAAAGGCTCCAGTCCAATAGGTTCCCTCTAATCCCTTATTAATTGTGTTAAAATCATATGGAATTAAGACATAAAGTTATTTTTCCTCCATACATTCAAATATTTTTCCTTCATGTCAAATAAAAGAAATATTGTTTGCGACATTAATGCATTTTTTTAAACTTTTCAATCTTGCTGTTTTTATGATACTGAAGTCAATAACATGACAGGCAGGAATTCTAGTGTATGGGCATTTTTCTTAATACATTTCTGATTTTTGATATAAAAGCATAACTTATCATTTCATGTCAAATAAACCCAGTGTTTAACATACTATGGACGTAAACAATCTAATTGACAAATTCTGCTGAATGTGTGTGAATAGATCCTGCCTCAGTTCCAGTGTGCTGAGGAGAAGAACCGTTTGCTACGAGCAGTGGCTGGGGGGGGCATGGACTCCCTTTCCTCACTGAGGGCCAAGTGGGATAAATTTGAGCTCGTCATGGAGAGCCACCAGCTCATGATCAAAGATCAGGTAACAGAATGGGCTGTACTCATGAAGCGCTTTGTCCAGTCTCTGCCACCCCTCAAAGTGCTTTACATTCAACAAGTCATCCTTTACAACTCATTCATACAGAGCAATGCACCATCTTGCTCATGTAAGCTAACAATCACACAACACATCCACACACCCAGTGTTCATTTCGTCAAACTATGACGAAAAATGTTCGTCAACGACCTTTTTTACATGACTAAGACGAGACGATGACGAGCTAAAAATAGATTCTTGATAACGAAAACTTTGACGAAATGTATATTGAGTTTTCGTTGACGAGACGGGACTAAGGTGTTAATGGTGGACTATTGGACAATCAAAATGCAGGGTATTTTCCCCCAATTGTCCGTCTTGTCTGTCAAAATGCATCTTACGTTTCTAACTTGCAATATCATTATTTCCGCTCTCTTAACTCCAGAAGAGTGATCTCCCTGTGTCTCTGTGTGCGGGGGGGCCTAACAGACACGCTGCAGCGGCACACAGAGATCTGCCGGGGACGGAGCGTTCAGAAGGGACACATGCTGGAGTCCTTCAAGTTTGAAGGACTTTGTATACTGTAGGGTAGCTTGTGAATTTACTCCAGGTGGAACTAAAGTCTGATTTAACACTTGATTAGATTTCACATCATTCATATCTGTAAAGTAACTAAAGCTATTAAATGCATTTTGTGGAGTAGAAGTACACAATAGCAACACATTTAAATACTCCAGTAAAGTACAAGTACCTCAACATTTTACTCAAGTACAGTACAATATTTTAACATAGTTATATATATTTCATTTATTTCACATTTAAATAAAGCAATTAATTCGGTTAACAATTTGTTAGTTTTTCCCTTTAAAAAATAACAAAAAGTAAATATAAGAATACCGTTAAAGTACCAGATCGATAAGAGTAAAGTGTTAAGAGAGTGAAATGTTGCTTTACGAATTTCAACACTTGATACTGTCACATTGATTCCAATTTCAGATACCTGTATTTGCCTAACTGAATTGGTTAAAAGAGAGAAAACATTTTTACTAAAAGTTGACTAAGATGTAATTTTTCATCGACTAAAAGTAGACTAAAACGTTTTGAATTTTCGTCGACTAAAACTAGACTAAAACTAGACTAATAATAACCATTTTCGTCTAAGGACTAAGACTAAATCAAAAACAGCTGCCAAAATTAACACTGCTTAACTGTTCCCAGTAAAGAAAAGAAAAAAGAGCGCAAGAGAAGGGAAGGGGTTAAAAGACGAAGCACTGGAAGTCAGAGAAATCTAAAGAAGGAGACAGACATTTGCGGCCATTTCATTATTATCTTTTATAAAGCCTATAATAAGGGCTGGTTTCAAGGTTGCCCCGAACATCCTCCTTGGTCCTAGATTGTATGGTCTTTTATTGTATTATATTTCATTGTATTTGTATTTTACATTCTTACTTGTAATTCAATTTTATTTGTGTAATTTGATTTAATCTTTTTACAATGTCATTCATGTTTGTACATCTGTAAAGCCCACTGAGACCAAATACGTTTTGGGGTATTGAGCTATAAATACAATTTGATCTGATTTGGTTTGATTTGAAAATGTGCTTCCAGGTGAACCTAAAACATGCACCGACTTTTACTCTTTTACCACTGTGCAAAAAAAGGCATATTGAGCTATCTGAATTGACAACATTGGCTGTACTGTACATTTTTAGTTGAAATTAATTTAAATATTTTAGTTTTACTGTTAATTGTGCTGTACATTGTTTGCATGGTCCTCATTTAACAAAGGCATAATACAAAAATACAAATAGTTAGAAATTATAATAAATAGATACAAAATGAAATACATAATAATTAAATAAAAAAACTCAAGCTCTCGCACTTGTACTTTGTTGAATGATAATGTCTGTAATGTGTTGATAATGTTTGTACAATATAAATTTGATAGCATCAATAAATGGTATGTCCTTTTGGTGTCCAAGGAGGACATGAACAACATGAACTATTATCCCTGATGTACAACATCTCCATGAATTATATTAAAGTTATGTCTGTGAAAAAATAAAATAAAAAAATAAAACTCCAGCGGTCACCATTATGATGTTAAGCTCACATTCTCACTTCACTGTTTCCTGCCCTCACCTGAACATTGTCCAGCACCTGGCCGGCCATCACCATGCCCATCCCGGCCAGCAGGTAGGGAAACAGCACCTGAAGGCAGATAGCGATGGAGGACTCATCCTCCACTTTGGCCGCAGACACTTTGGGCTTATCCTCCTTTTTAGGGGGAGGCGCGGCCACTGGGGGTAAGAGGAGGTCATCCTGGTCCTCGATGGAGCCTACCACACCGGGACCGGCGCTCGGGCTCTTCCCCTTGGAGCGGGACTTTTTGTTCTTCTTCCTCTGGCGGGTCTGTGGGGGTTTGTCCTCCCCGGGCATGATGGCGGTGCTGGCTGTGAAGACTAGGCTGGTGTTGGATTAAACTGGGAATACAGAATCAAAATGTGGTTTATTGGTGGGGACATCTCGTATGTCAGGTTTGGTTTTATCCTATTTGTACCCAAAAATATTGTAGGTATGGATCCCATCAACTGAACAGCTACAGTAAAAGGTTATTTGTAAATAAAACTAAAACTAGATATACATCAATAAAGAGTTCAATAGCTTAGATGGAGTGTAAACATAAATACAGAGCGTTAGTTTATCTTTAGCCTTCAAATAACTAGAAATGTTCATTTGTATTATTTATTTTACTTCAAATTAAGTGTTAAGATACATTAAACCTTTATCTTTTTACAATATTCTGTTTTTCTAGAGCCTTGGCTGGAGTTTATAAAGTTAGCATTAGTCTTCAATTCTAATTCTATAGATGTTTCAATTAATGTGACAATATGACCCTACTTTTTAGTTTATTTGGCCTTTCCAACATGGTTATCTTTTTTAATTTCCATTCAAAAAATCCAGTGGTATCACTGGCTCTCTTTATATATAGAATACAATGTCAGCACACATACAGATGCACAAAGGAAAGCATGAATGCCTCATTGCTAAGGCTATGGAAATCTTTGCTCAACCTATCTGTGGCTGTTTTATATTATTATATTTATTAAAATGTTTCATACTTTCATTTGCTGCAATAAAGAAGTACCTAGATTTTAAGAATAGCAATATTAAATTGTAAAACTTATTTTGTTACAAGTACCTATTCAAAATCTTACTTAAGTAAAAGTACATAGGTACTGGCGTCAAAATATAATGAAATAACTAAAGGTGAAAAGTACTCGTTGTGCGTAATATTATATTATAATACTGATTAAGGATGCATTAATGTGTACTTCACAGCTGGGAAATGTGGAGCAAATTTGTATTAAACTTTACAATGATAAGTCAATGTTTAATTGATATGTTGTTTTAGCTTATAATGTAAATGTGTAAAAAGCTCACAAATAAATGTAGTCGAGTGCAAGTATAAAGTAGCATTTACATTTACAGTAGAGTCGACAATTACCTCAAATGTGTAATACTTGAGTACATCTACTTCATTACATTCCACCACTGGTATAGTTGTAGCCCTGAAGCTGAACCTTGATCATGGTATTGACAGTGGCTTTATTTTGCATGCTATACGTTTTTTGTCCTTAACCTTATAATGTAGGCTACGTGTATAACGTTCATTTTGTCTAAAAGCAGCCCATTCAACAGCATCCGTCTACGCGATGGGTGTGTTGATGAACTAATCCATACAAACAAACAAAAATCCTAGAATACCCTTACGAAAGTGCTAATAACGAAGAATTACACACGGTATCGTCGACAGTTTCCGGATATGGCCGATTATCTCCGAAGCCCCATTAGATGCGTCAGCACAACAAAACACCGATAAACAATCTTCTGTTGATATGCATGCCTCCACTGCAGGCTGCCATGTCTACATACCATAATATCACTTCCCCGGTAACCGAGGTTACACTACTAGGCACTTTTTGATTGGATAAACAACGTGTAGCACCGCCCCCGTGTGGACAAAGTCGGCTGCTGCGGGAATTTGGGACTCCATTGGGATATATTCAACATTTTAAATGAAGAATCATGTTTTATGCCACTCTTAAAAGTCAGGTCTTTAATATTTTGTAATCATAATACAAGGGTCCAACTTTTTTTGTTTAAGTAAATGTCTCCAACAACAGGTGTTGACACAATTTAGAACATAATTCCAACATAAAAAACATAGAATAAGAGACACTTAAGTAAGTCAGCAATGACAGCTCAGACCTGAGCCATTTAGAACTGAAGCTCCTTACATGGTCACCAGCACTCAATTACAATAAAATCAGTGGCAGATATTCATAATTATGAAACTCATTACAAACTCATTAACTCATAGTTTAAAAGCATATTCCTGCCCCTCTGTCATTGGCTACCGACAGCTTAAACAAACCTATAATACACACAGATGACATATGTTTCTGAATTATTCGACATCTTGTCCTTACCTTTTGTCTCCAGAGCTCGTGAGGGTGTGTGTGCACAGCTAAAGTGAACGCGAGCTCCCAATAATAACTATATGCTTGCCATGCTGCGTGTATGTGTTGGAGTGTAAATGTCTTGTCTATATTAAGGTGTGTGTGTGTATTTTCCGCTTTTGGTTTGCTGGTGCATTTTTCAATGTACGTTTGAGCATTAGGCTAACTGTGTGTGCGTATCAGTGTGTGTGTGTGTGTGTGTGTGTGTGTGTGTTGGTAATATCACAAACAAATATAGTGTTCTGCTAGCAAGAGAAGAGACAGAAGGTCAACAAGGCCAATCACGGAGAAAACCTACTGCTTCTGTGATGGCGTCGGACGACATTCCTCTCATTAACGGTGTAGTGTGTACGCGTCAAGTTACACGGTCTTGAGCTAAACTGCCACACAAGGTTCTACGTCGGCTTCAGCCTTGGTTTATGCGTCCTGCTCAGGCCGCTGCGTTGTCAGCACAGCCGCAGCCGCTGTAAGGTCCACTGACCGGCCACATAGCTACCCGGAATTCTCGAACCTAGTATAAGTAGTACAGTGCAACCACAAACTTTTGGCAGATAATGCGGAAATTTGACGGCCTGTTCTTTTTTCCGATACCTTTCTTTCAACTACAAACAAACGTAAAAGAGTAGTTTACCCGGTGTTTATTTTCGTATTTGTCGTAAAATAAGAAAAACTGACTGGTGTGTCAAACAAATCTACTCAGAGATGGTTTACCAGCTCGTACCGGGAGATACCACTTTTCATTTAGTCAGTATATTCATGTCATTAAACATACGTATTATTGAGTTTTATATTTGTGTTTGAGTTATTTCACAAAGAAATACTCTTTAATATGTTGGTATATATAGTATTTTCTTATTATGTTAATAGTGTAACATTTTTTATTTTTGACTTTTTTTCAGTACATTTCCTAAAGTACTATTTTTTTTATGAACGGAGTAGAATTGCATATACGACTTATTGGATTTGGTCCTTTGGTGACGCGGATCGTGTCGGTAATTCGATACACGAGAAGGTTTACCCACCACGACCGGTCGTAACTTGTAGAACTAGTTACGTCCCATCTTTTCGCACATGCTTTTGGCATCAAATAGAACAAGACAGGAGGTAGACTAGGTTTGTCCTTCATGTGCCTTCGAAAGGTCGTTCATTCTCGAGTCAGCGGAAAAACAAGCATAACGACGACGACACAACGTCATAGGTGTAACGCGTCTTTACAAGTTCGTGAGTTAGGGTGTTCATAGTTTTTTTACTGAGACGGACTTCGTAAGGTTCACAACTTGTTTCTAGGTTGTTTAGGTAGTGTCGGAACTTTCCAGTCCCTACTTCTGACATTTGTACAGTCTCTCTTTACAACCAAACGTTTGTGATAATCCTCACAATGTTCTACGGGGTTTAACTTAAAATCTAGGGTTGACACGGTCGTCAGGTGCACGGAGTTATCTAGAGAGGTGGTAACGGCAAGAACCCGATTACAAACGTCATGAGCACCAACTCCCGGACGATTAGGATAGTTATTAACAATTAAAGATAATACGAGTGTTACTACCCCTAACGAAAAGTAAACATGACACCGGTAGTCTTGTTGGTTTGTAAACATAAATCAATAACAATAATAAAATTTCATTTTTTTGCAAAATGATCAAGGAACTATTAAATCATTGATTATTTAAACCTATTTCTTGATCAATCGAACAAAGACTCTCGTCATTCGATATTGTCACATGGCATGAAAAAATTTTTCATTGACGGGGTTTACCAATATTAGTATAAAAAGTAAAAAGTGAAGAAAAGTAAAAATCCCCCGCGTTGTCCCCCCAGTCTCCAGTCACAATCCGCCCGTGACCGCGGGGACCAGGGGGATCTTGGCGTGGGACTAATTTACCTTGGGAACGCAGGGAGTGGAGACGCAGCAAGGGGGACGAAAATCAGGGAGGGATGGTCCCTTTCGTACCTCTCCTGGCGTTCCCCGGGAAGAGGAAGCCAATTTTACCTAGGAGAACGCAGGGAGTGAACGCGCAGCAAAGGGGATACTGATCAGGGGAGGGTGGTCGCCTTCGTACCTCCCTGCGTTCCCTTGGTGCTCTGCGTCCTTTTACTCAAATTCTCGTTACCCTGTGGCAGAAAGAGGCCTCGCAGTGCACTTCACTGCAGCAAACACTACTGACGACGTGTCCGACAAGCAGACTGGTCGTCGGTTGAGACTAGGGGGCATAAAAGTCTTGTGGGGCGGTGTGTAAATGTCTGTGTTATTAAACATGTAGACAACATCTGGGGTTATTTATCGCTTAGTTTATTCGTTGCATTCAGAGAGGTTTTCTCTATGTGGCGGTAGAGATTTTAGCATAGTTTTGCTCTGTTATGTAAACTAATCTCACGTGTTATATTTATTGTTTTCTAACTCTCTTCTTTTTCTCTATCAGCAGGTCAGTGTTGTTGGTCATCTAATTGTACCATAACCTAACGTGTGAAACAAACAAACACACTATCACATTCGGGATGTAACATTGTAAAATTATCGTGAGATACTGACCTGACTTACCTTTACTGTCTATGTTACGTTTTACTTTTGCGTTTTTTCGCTAGTACTTTTTACCAAAGGGTTATTATTTATTTTGTAAAAAACTGGTGAAACAACAAAGTCTATATATTGTAAAACATTGGATATTACTAGTAATTAAATTTGTTTTGTGTCATATTGACTCTCACTGAGGGCCACTCAAGTACATAGAAGAAGTGGAGGCGACCATGACGAGGTACAGTTCTTCGTAGGTCTAGTCCCCGCGACGCGTACGGGCAGCAGGTAGTCGGCCTACGTCGCGTACGTCGCTATTGTCATTTCCAGCTCGCTCATACTGCCTAAAGTAGCTCCACCACCGCCACCAAGATGCAAGAGCGAGGAGTAAATACGAAGCTAGAGCTAGAGCAGGAGGCGTCTTTATTCTTCGGGTACCCTGTGGATGAGTTCTACCGCGTCTGTTTGTGAAGGCCACTATCTCTGGAGCGCGGGCTCCTTATCGACAAACTCTGCGCAACGCCGAGCGGAGGCGTTCGGTCTGCTCTATCGGCTAGCGTTCGGCCCAAATACTTCAGAGTTTTGAGGCGGACTTCAGCCTGTCGAGACTCAGCCGAGAAGAGAGAAAGAGGAGAGCAAAACCGCCTAACGTTTGTGAATTCCACGTATGGCGGTGGAGGTCTGTCAGCCGAACGATGCAAGCTAAATATGTTCTTACTGGTACACAAGTAGCATACAGTATTATACATGATCATTTAGTAAACGACGAGTTCTAATCTAAGTTGAGATGAACATAACGGTGTCTAATGTCCATGCTCTGTTGCTTACGTCAAATCCAAGGTTGGTCCTCACCGTTGTTCGGTCATTTGCACTTTTCATTACATTGTGTTACGATGCTTATTTTAATCTTCTTTAACTCTACTACTTATTTGTCACTCCCCATTACTTATATGTGTCGTCGTACACTCGTCATACTTGTCACCACATACTTTGACGAACTTGCACTGAGTTAATCGAGACCTGACGTCATAACTGAAACAGAACGACGAAACCTGAACTAGCCTGCAGCGACCTAAACAGAACAGATGATGTCGGTCCTCAACCAACTTGCCTTATGTACTTGCCGCATGGCATTAGTCTTATGTTTTTAGTTCATTGGACATAAGCGAGCGCAATGTAAACTTTTTGCTCCTAGACTAATCGTCCAATGAAAGGCATTTGGACTTCACTTATGTAAAACCTAATGAATAACCTTATAACCACCTTTCTAAAGGAGTGGTTGTAAATTATAAGTAATGACTTATCCATGTACGGCTTAGTAGTGTCGCGTGTTTTGGATATGGCGGTTTTTCCGCTCGCAAACTTGTATTGTTCGCTTTGTACCTTCCTTGTCTTCACGCAAATTTAGCACACACACACAACACACACACACCTCCACACTCACCAATTTTTAATTTTTGTAGTCGGTGTGGCGAGAAAATCGGAAAGACTCCCTAAGACTTCCATTTGTCGTCACTTCCGCCACTAACTTTCCGCCACGCACCTTCCGGACGCGCAACAGAATAGAGTCTCGACTCAATTGGGAGTGGCGCCGAGGACCACGCCGTCCCTAAAGTACTTCACTTCCTCACAGGACGGTTGTGACCCGTCCTGTCTTCTGCTGTGCGGGAGCAAGATTCGGCATCAGGGAGTGAGGAGTGTAGGTTCGACGTAGGGGTTTTCAAATAATACAACCAATGTAGCAAATCTACAATACAAAGTCATACGGAGAACTTATTCGGTAATTTTGTCATTTTTGTGCAACTCAAAGGGAAAACGAAACAACAAGAGGACATGGGTTTTGGTATGTGTACGACACTACCCTTTTTCTTCATT